CAGCTTCTCGTGTCCTGAAGGATACACCCCATTCCCCACACCGTCTCTGTTTTGCTAGGGATCGCCTTTTAGGATTGAAGGCTCGGGCGGGCAGCGGCTCTGACCGGCGTTTGGGACTTCTGCTCGTTCTGCTTTGTGGCGTGTGAAGGTTCCGATCTTGAATGTGATGGAGAGGGTGCTTCGGGCCGGAAGGTCTACACATGATGTGCTGTTAACATCGTGTTTCCTGCTTCGTCTTCGACCTGAGGCTCCCTTGCGCCGGGCAGATGATCTTCAGTATTCTTCTTTGTAAACCAAGCCCAGGCACAGAACTTGGAAGCCCTCTGAAAATCCTTTCATCTATAGGCTGCGCCGTCTAAGGTGATATCACGGCAGGGCCTCGTATCCCAAACTTCCTGCATCCTGCGCTGGCGAGATCTGTTTCGGCATCTACTTCACGATCTTGAGCCCCATCCCTCAGCCCTTCGCCAGCGAGCTTCCCCCCATATCTTCTTAACCCTAATCCCTAAACCCAAAAGCCCTCTTCAGCCCCCCGGGCCGATGACCGCTCTCAAACGAGGCAAGGGACCCAGGGTCTAGGGTTCGGCAGGGAGGGTAAATATAGGGGAGCACCCTCAGAACAGCTAAAACCAATTCAAGTTCCACAGGCAGGGTTGTGGTACTCTCAGCATCTTATGCTTTAGGCTCAGGTCTTGAGTCCTCAGCTCCAAACCCGAAACAGCTGAGGCACTCATGTCCAATCCCAGGAAACCATCTGGGATTGCTCTAAGTTTCGGTCTTCGGCGAACACCAATTACGTAACTGAAGAAGCGACCAAGTTTAGATTGAGGAATTTTGGGTTTAAGGTTATAGGGTTGAAGAAACTGCGTTCGAACGACCCAAGCAAGGTAACTCCTGGTACAGCAAGTGACCGTGCCAGGCACACCTGGCCAGGAGGTTTGCAAACAACCGCTATCGCGCTGTTGGTTTCCATTCAAGCCCCCGTGGTACTACGCCCTCATCTACACATGTCGGTAACAATTCCAATGTTTGAAGGATTTCGGATGGATACATATGTATGTATACACGTCTGTTATGTGTGAGCATGCAGGATCCAATTACTGTCGGATTCTCCCACCCTCACCACATGGCACCCTACACGTCAGGTTCCAAGGACCCAACAAAGCCTTCCAGTATGAATATGGAAGCGTCGAAGTGAGGAGTAAACATGTAAACTATACACAGGGAAGTTCGCTAAACCTGTACAGATCTTTGAAGGGACCTCTGGAAATTCTCACATCAGTTCCAAAGACGAGCGTAGCTCTTGGGGTCTGGGCTTAAGTCCACGTCCTCAGCGGCTTTACCTTACGACCAAAGATAGACAATGAGCCCACAGTAGAATCAAAACCCACTCTAACCAAGCATATTGAAACCTGCCTCCCAACGTCCGGTTCTGCAGGCACAATAATAGTGATATAGGGGCCTTGACAACCAAGCTAGGGTTTTGAGGTATGTGGGGTAGTACCATCTCCTGACAATGAGGGATAGGAGTGCGAATGGCTCAGATCTCTATATAATGTAGGGGCCTTAATAATTAGAATAGGGTTTTGGTCCCCTTTATACTATAATTTATGATAAGGAACCCCCCATAATAGTATAGGTCATTATTAAGGCTTCTATATTGGGCCAAGATCCGTCTGGCCTGGAGGAGCCAGAGCCTGGTAAGAGCCAGGCAAGACCTGTCCATGAGCTTGAGGCCTACACGGCTCTACAGGGGCTCAATAAGCCAATAAGCGTTGCACAACCGCTGGTGAACGGGTCATGCAAGGGCTGTGCCATGGTTTCATACCATATTCTGATCATGATGGCATACATCAGGGCTTGGACGCTTCTCCTTGTTGGCATTGGCATCGCTGAGCTATGCCTGTTCCTTTGTCTTCTTTCTATGTCCTTGCACTCACAGTCATCATTTGGCAGCTCAAACGCGTTTCGTAGGTCAGGCGGATTTACGAGTGTTCCATGCCTCCTCCTGCACGAGCTTCATGGCGAATCAAGCATTGAGAAGCGCTAAACCCACGCGTTACAGTCGAGTAGTAAGCCACGCTGTACAAGCAAAGTGTACGGCTCACCGGCTTGAAAGTACGGGCCAAAAAAAAAATCTCGCACTCGGACTGTATCTGCTTGGGCCGGCTGTTCGGCCCAAACGTTAGGGGTTTTAGGGTTGACGTGCAGGGCGTTTTGGGGTATGCGCAATCCAGCAAGCAATCCGCGCGCGAAGCGAATCGAAATCACGGCTTCCAAGCAGGCAGGAAATTGAATCATCTGGCGCCCAGATTACATAGGAATCTGTATCCTCTTTGGGTCTGATATTCATGCTTGCAGCAGTCGCTGCTTGGGAGAACCAGAACAGTTGCAATGTACAACATGCAAAACCGAAACTCCTGAGGACGCATTAAGCCAAATTGCAGAGACTAAAGCCTCATGAATCCATCCAGTCATGCTGTCTTTCGTAAGAAATGTTGAGATTAGCCACAATGTGCCCCGCCTTTGGCGAGGGAGACAACGCTCGCTGTGGAAGGCTTCCTCTCGGCAAACGGGCCGAGTTTCTCTTTGGGGCGACTTGGGAGAAAGCTTTCGGTTGCGTGGTCAGGTGGCTAAACCGGTCTAAGTAGGCCCATACAGCATTGAGACTACGAGGTCTAGGGCTTGAGCCTTTTAGGGCATCGGGGTTGATGCAAAAGAGTGTCGGATCTTGAACCCTGGGCCTGTGTCGGCGTGGATGTGTGCATGGGCATCATTGCCCTGCAGGTACGTGTGCAATGCTTTTCTCTTGAAACCGTGCAACTAATGCTCGCATGCCAGCGGTATATGTGTCGTATACATTCAAGGGTGTAGGTACGCGCGCACATACAAGCCAACGCAATCTGCGGCAAGGACATCCTTGGGTCCGTGGACCTGTTGATCGACAGTGAAATGAAACAGCTCTCCAGACATCCAAGCACAATGCCGTTGCAGTCGTTGCCCGTCTACACCATGCAACTACGCTATGCAGCAATGGCTGTTGTTCGACCCGGCAGAGCTGCGGAGAAAAACAAAAACTACTCTCAACTTGCTTCGGCTGAATGGCAGAGTAGTGCCTGACGTCTTAACGCAGGTGCTCCGGGCTTTGGCTTCATCCCTCAGAGCTTAAGTTTTACCCATAAGTCCAACCGGCTGGATCCTCAACCCCCCCCCCCCCCCCCAATCAAAGCTCCTGAGCTAAAGCTGTTGGCCGATCGTACCTGGCTTCAGACGGGGGCTTCCTGGAATCTCAGGTCTGATGGAACCTGTGGTGCGCAAGACTGACTCAGGAAAGATTCGCTCGAAGGGGAGAGACGACGGATTAATCATATCTCGCAACAGAGCGAGTCTGACCACTAGTCACTATCATCAGTAGGAACAATACCATATGAGAGGTCAGAGTAGTGCTGACGATTTGCGTGCGGAGCAAGCTGGCATTTGCCAGTTGACGGTCAATTGCCTCTCATAGGCCTGCAAAATTCTCCCAGGGAGTTCCAAAGCAACACCGTCAGCACCGCGTTTGCTATGGCTGCGACTGAAACAAACACTGATTATTATGTGCCTTGCCTCCTGTCTGCAATTAAAGCTCTGGGGATGATACCCCCTTTAGATTAGCAAGACAGGTGGGAGATAGGTGGGTGCCCGGGGAAAGCACTCCCTTCAACTAGACTCAGAAGCAGCCGCAAGTAAGCCCCGAGCCGAAGCTCTAAGCCTTAAGGTCCCTAGGCCCTCACCCTGAGTCCCGAACCTTATAAACCCTCTTCCTTGAACCGCTGGACTGCCGGTGTAAACATGCGATCAAGCCCTTCAGACCAAGCCGTCGTCCGCTAAAGGTAGTATATACGGTTCTGTTCTATAATAGGATGTTCTAAGCAGGAATGCCAGTTTGCTTTGTGATGTAAGTGCTGGCCTACGGCCCGATGCCCTGCCCAAGCATGAGGGTTTCGGGGCGTTTTCGGGTTTAGGGATGTTTAGGGTCTACGGCGTCTAGGGTCATTACGTATGAAGCCAGGAATGCACACCTGGCTCGCAAGAATCAGGACAACAATGTGTACTGTAGGGAAAGCTTGTAGCACCGCGCCACTTAGTCCGAAACTCTGTGTGCTTTTGCTGAACAGGTGCCAGGTTAGGGGATCGCGCCGAGCATTGGGGCGACCCCCCCGACACCTGCGGCTCCGACAGAGAAAGCCCAAGGATTTAGGTGGGCGAAATGGACAAAAGGGTAAGCCCTGTCTGTCACAGGCTTATAGGCCTAGGAATAACCAGGTATGAGCGCTCGTCAAGACTGACCCTTTTGCTGTTTATAGCCTAAGCATGGACGATTTGAGGGAGTCCTATCGCTTCACAGGGACCTGGTCATATCGCTGTCATGTATCACGCTTGTGGCACTAAATGAGAGCATAGCAATAGTTTGTTTCGCAATTGGTAGTGGTGACGGTACTGGTGGTTTTGGGATTTTGCTGAATGTCATGGTACTGGTCATCGTGATAGAACGACTAGTAGTAAAAATGATGCGTCGGTAACAGTACTAACGATAATAATCGTGGTTGTAGCAAACGCAGGGTTGACAATTGATTCCATCATCAAAATGGGCAATGCATTCACTGGATTAGCCGGCGTCAGCCGACAACTCTCGCCAAATGTAGGGTTGAGACAGGGTGTCCTATCGCCGCTCGACGGCTTCGGCCAAATGCCACATTCCAAGCTCACCCTGCATGCTCTTAAATATACGTTATGCAGAAGCTTTAACGGATGCGGATGTGTGATTGTTTGAACCTTCAATTTGAGCAGGCCTGCCAGCCAAAGCCCAGCTGCGAAGCTCGAACCAACCCTAACTGCGATGGTTGTCCATAACGACATTTACTGCCACAAGTGTCCGCACCACGGGCCCTACAACCCATATACCAAAGCTACAAGCCGTCTAGTTCCGACCTTCTCAAGAATTCTGCCAACTGCCAACTTCAGCTTTCTAGGCGGAAGGCCTGGGCTGGATTGACGGTCAAGCTGAAGCTCTGTGGCGACAGCAAAGCAGGAGGTGCCTTCATCTGACCCACTCAAAGCCTACAATCACTATAGTTGTCAATCAAAGGCATTCAGAGGCCCTGTTTCGATGAGATTTCTGAGCAGGGCTTTGGGATATTTGAGTCCGGTGCTTGGCCTAGTGGGAAGGAATGCAGACAACCGGACATATTTTGAGCTTTCTCATGCATTGCAGCTGAAGGACTTACTGAAGGACGAGCCGAGATGCCACCAAACTTCCAGTCGATGGGCTGAGCTGTCCAGGGCTTCCCGGATAAAGCACGGGCCCTGTGCCTCCGACCGCACGGGGAGGAGTGCCAACGAAAGTCGCTGGGTGTGCCGGCAGCTTGGCAGCAAACTGATGGGGCGACTGTGCTGCTTGAGTTTGACTCGGTGGCGGAGACTTCGCTGTCGGCGGTGGCAGAAGGCCTCCAGGACTCGCCAGGCCGTTGGGATAGCTGGGCGGGAGGTGCAGGGAACCCACGCCAGCCGGAGAGGCGTGCCCATTAGTTATTATGGTGCGCCCGGGGCTTGTCAGCATCGTGCCGTTCGGGTGGCTGGGCGGGAGATGCAGGGATCCGGCAGTCGCGGAACCAACGCCGCCCGGAGAGGCGCGCCCATCCGTTGCACTGCGCCCGGGGCTTGTGAGCATCGTGCCGTTGGGTTGGCTGGGCGTGGGGTGCAGGGATCCGGAACCGACGCCGGCCGGAGAGGCGCGCCCATCTGTTGCACTGCGCCCGGGGCTTGTGAGCATCGTCCTCCCTGCCGGCACTTGCAACGACCCAAGTGGCGCCATAAATGCAGGGAGTGTCACCACCTGACCTCGGATGCCCAAGTCGAAGTGCAACGTGCAGCGCTTTACCGCCATAAACGACTGCCACAGCCGCGACGACCGCGACGGCTGTAACAGCTCCTTCTGCTGCTGCTGTTTCTGCTGCCCCCACCGCTTGTGAACTACACACTGTTCCCACTGCTACTAAGTATTCAGGTTGCCATACTTGTTTACCTTATGTTGTCTCTTTATTGTAATGGTTTTTTGCAACCATGCTGTCTGGTCATGGGTATCACTTGTTTCTGATCCTGACTCATGCGTCATTAGTTATTAAGTAGAGTTAGATAAAGAGTCTGCTGAGTTTCATGAGGCAAGGCACCAGCAGGTGGCATCCAAGAGACGCTTCTGCAGCCAGCCGCGGGGCAACCCGCGACGACCTCGCCGGGCCCACTAGGGAGAAAAACTTGGGCAAATGCTGCGTAAACCTTGTTAGTCCCTCTGGTCTTGCTTCTTGGGGTCCATGTCACTACAGACAGCATCGCAGGGTTTATATCCGGATGCTTCGTGCGTCGTTTGCCAGTGGTCCATACCAGTCCAGATTTTCGGGCTACGGATGACAAGGAACCCCAAATTGAATCCCTGGCGAAGCTGCTGTATTTTTAGTTTGGGGTTTATAGAAAACTATAGGACTTAAGGTTTTGTGCCCCCCCACTTCGTTAACACTGCGTTTTATCTAGAACCTCGTAAAGCTCTCAAGCCTCAAGCCCTATAAGACCCCGTAAACCTTAAACCCTACACCGCTAAACCCAAAAGCTTAAACCTGAATGCGCAGCCTAAGCCTTCACGCGTTCAAGAGCGTACCACACCTCTCCTTGTCGGGAATGTAAACAAATGACGTTCTTGTCCTACTTAGAGGTAAATAGTCAATATGGTACATAATTGCAGCCTTTTACACATAAATGCATGTCTGTGTACAAGTATTCCTTAACAGCTCTATACATTGACAGCACTGTCGATAATAACTATCTTGTTCTTTCCCACCCAAATCCCCTAAACGCTTCAGCCCGGGTCAAAAAATTGGACCCTCGAGTGCTCGTGTGTGTCCAAAGGGGCCGGGGCCACATTCGGCAGCAAAGCAGCGTCGTTCTTTGTGTGTGCCTGTTCTAAAACATCCGGGGACCCTCTGTGCCCAAGGGGTCGGGGGGGCACATTCTGCAGCAAAACAGCGCCGTTCTTTGTGTGTGCCTGCTCTAAACCGTCAAGACCTTGCCACTGGCCTCCTGCGATCCGGAAAACTTGACTTGAATTTTGCTGGCTAGATTCTGTTTATAAAAACTGCATTTTAATCAGGCCGGGTGCCCATGTCGAGGTCCCTGCGCCTTTCTGTGTGTGTGAGATTGTGCCTGCTCTTGAGCCTCCCGTAGTCCCTAAACCGTGTCAGCCTTGGAGCCCGGATCAAAAAATTGGATTCTGGAGCGCTCTCGTGTGTGTCCAAAAGGGCCGGGGCCACAGTCTGCAGCAAAACAGCGCGCCGTTCTTTCTGCGCCAAACCATCCGGGCCTGTGTGCCCAAGGGGTCAGGGCCACATTCTGCATGTACTGGCTGCTAAGCTCTATACTACCTAACCGTGAAGTTGAAAGCTTGCTTTTTGGTACGCTTAAGAACTTAATCTTTGTACACAAGCTTTGGGTGGCTTCTCGGGGTGGGTAATTTAGGACTCCACGTTCGTGACGGAACACTTTTACTCTAAAGATCTCGGACGTACGTCGCGAAACTTCGGTCCAGAGAAACCTATGCACCCACCGCAGGAGTCTGGCCGACACACCCTTTTTACAGCAGGCCTCGTACACTGGGGGCCGACACACCCTAAACCCCAAACCGTATCCAGGAAGCCGGCCCGGTTCGGGGCCAAAAGACTGCCAGTCGACCCGGTGCGGACGGGCAGGGCCTGGCAAGCGCAGGTTCTAGGCCTTATATAATATGGTTCCATGACGGCTCCATACAAAATCTCCATAGGGTTTTGGTGTCTCTAGGGGTTTGAGGAATGTTTGAGGGTTCGAACCTTAATGAAGCTAGCCTACGGCCATCTCTGCTGAATGAAAGCTGCATAATGGTAGTATATGCTGTGCACCACAACTCTACTTCTCCGAGCACCCATTCTTCGAATTAAACTCGAACATACGAGACTACGAGTATTCCACAATTCCACATCCTTCCTATGCTTTCTATGCCTAGGCGCTGCACGAGTTTCGGTCCTGGCGTGGGCTAAGCTTTCGGCTCTTCGCCGCGACTGTTTATGCCGATACGGTGATGAGCGAATATTTCAGCAGGCCGGATTGAAGCCATTCTACTCAGTCACAAAAAAACCCAGGGCCTCAGCTTGTGAAGTCTTCAAGCAACTAGTTCCGAACAACAAGCTCTCCCAGGTCCGACCTCACCACCAACGACCGGCACCCCAGCCACAAAGCTGAGCGCAGCATGCACAACTTTTTCTCGCTGACGGCTGCAGATCGCATGGATACGGCAGTCGCAAGAAGTCCAGGCACAAGAGGTCACGATTTGCCTTCCGGCAATTGAAAAAGCATTAGGACATTTTACGGTTCCAATTTAAAAGACCGGTGATCTGAAAGCAAGAAAGGGACGGGTACCATGAAGAAGTACACTGCGTGTATCTCCTTCTGCCCGACCTTCCGAAACGATGAATTGCCCGCCACACCCAGATCTCGCTGTCCAAGCAATAAGGCAAGCCTGCAACAGGACTGCATGTAATAGTAACAAAACCCGGCGCAGGAGAGAGAGAGAGAGAGGGACAAATACATATATGTATGTATGTATGTATGTATGTATGTATGTATGCATGTATGTATGCATGTATATATATATATTTATTTATTTATTTGTTTATTCATTTAGATATATCCACACACACACAGAGAGAGCTTTCATACATACATGCATACGTGCAAACTTAATTACATAAACACAGGAATGCGCAGGAATGCATGCATGTCGTTCTTTTCATTTGGCTGGTTAGATTTTGTAGATGTGTTCTTCATAGACAGATTGTGGTTCATGATGCATGCATGTTATACATATATATATATATGTTACTTAAAATAGAAACAGTCGTCCGTAAAAAAACTGCGAGTAGGAATGCAGGAAGACACTGGAGAAACAGTAACCGACGTCGCTGGCCTGAATGTGCAGATGGGCCAGAGTCGGGCTGCACACGGGGTTTTAGTTTCACACAGATACACGTGCCTACATGGGCACCAGTGGATGCCGGCTGCGAGGACATGCGGAAAGATGTATATGGGCTTCAAACACATGGCTATCGGCTATCGAGTATGTGTGCGAAAACACATTAAGGATAATCAAGGTCGCAAGCAACAGAACGCAGGCGTCCTTGCATGTTTGTTGTCAGGAGAATGCATGTTGCATGTGTGTCTTGTGCCGGCATTGCTAGTTTACTTATCGTCTGCGTGCACACGTGTTAAGTTATACGTACATGAATGAAGCTTCTTGCGCGGATCGCCCTTAAGATAAGTAGGTCCGGTAATTGGCTAGGCTTGCAACGTTTGATCTGGTAACCGGTGTGAAATTCGGCGGGCTCCATGCACTTGGATCCCCGGAGAAACATTGATGCCACATGCGGGCCCGGTAGGAATTCTCGCATGGATACGGGTATGAGGCGACACGGACTCGACGAACGAAGCCCGTCGATTGGGCGCTAGCCTTGGCCTTTGGGCGTACAGCATTTAGCCTAGGAAGCGTGCAGAATCGAAGCTATTTTGTCATACTCCCCACCGAAGAATTGATGCATCCAGTCGAAACCTTGAACTCTTCAATGCAAAACCTGGGAACCCGAGACCCCCTAGATACGATTTGAACGCCTCATCACGATGCAAAAATGGGACAGCGATCAACTCATCGTCGCGACACCTAGTTTTGGTAACGGTAACACCCTTTGTAGGCAGCCAGACTTCAGCAGGAAACCCTCTGACAAATCCAAACAAAGCAAAAGCCTCATTTTTGATACGACCGGGGCCGCACTGAATTCGTTTCTCCGCAAAAGCCTGCTGCAGAAAAGGCAGGGGTTCCAAGTCTTGAAACGTCCTCAGGTCAGGCATGAGGTCTGAAGATATGCATACTCGGCAACATTTTCTAGTAGAAAGCTTTATATAAACTATGTCAGACACCGAGTCCAAGACTTGATATCATCTTAAAAGTCAATTTCCGGGCAAGGTTGGGCCCACTGACAGGCCCCGCATCCCAGGAGTCACCACTGTACGGTATGTAGAACCGTGCCTGCGGCAAGCAAAAAGACGCGGGCGGCCTTGACAGCTGCAGAGGCGGTTTCGATTTGGACAGTTTCAAACGACGAAGGCTACGGAAGTGGTAAACGCGTCTACCCCTCAAAAGCTGAGCTTGATTTACGGCTACAAACCGAAGAATTCCAATTCCAAGCGCCGAAGGACCGCAGCACCTGCGTTATGCGGGCCGTTGTCTCGTCCCAACCGCATGATGTTGAGAGCTTCCCAAAGAAAAAACACCAACATCTGAGTCGGATGCTTATCTGCTGTTCCGTTCAAGTCTACTCGCTACTGATCTCGGCCCGGAAGTGGTTCGGTGCTTCACGCGTGCGAGTACATGCAAGAAGACCTCCCAAGCCCCGGTCTTGCTTATGTACTCTCTCGATAATACAATCGTCCATGGTTCTTACCAGAGCTGTTTTGCGCTGGAGCAAGATGGCAGATGTACTCGTTCTAGATTCTAGGAACCCACCTTCTCAGCATGCCCCAAAGAAAGATCCACGGCTTTAACTTTGGGAAACTAACTGCCCTTCGGCTTGGCCGAAGTAAGGCGAACGCTCGAAACCTGCGGCTCAGCGTGATTCGTTTTCCATTCTCCGAAGCCGTGCCCCGAAGCCCGAACCCGCTTCAGCTGAAACGGCCGCCTCTCTCGGCCTCGCAAGAACAGTTCATCTATAGATGCTTAGATCCGCTGAGCCCCAGCGACATAAACTTGATACATATTGGTGAAAAGGCTGCAGTGGCTTTTGCTCCCTGCGGCCCTTCTCAATGCAAGCTCGCGCAAGCTCTTGAACGGAAACCCTGAGCATGCGAAGTGTTCTGTTTGGTACATGGGGATAGACAGGTCAGAAGTCCAAGGAACACCATGTCGTGAAATCGGAAGGTCGTGGAGTGTGAAACGGATTGCTCGGGGAGAGTAAGGCTCAATGTTATTGCTTGTTATTGCATGTTTGACGTGAAGCAACGACTCCAGGAGGTTGCCCTTGTCTTTGCGAGACTTGGGGGCGGACTTGCCGTGGAAAAAGGAAGTGTTGAGAGCTAAGGCATGGAGAAGTGAACCGCCCGGTGGAAACATGATGCTCTAAACCTGATCCTGCATCGCGATCTTCCGGGCCAAAGCCCGGACGCTGCTCCGCAACACAGTTAAGCTGTTGGAACACCTGACAAATTCCGAGGCAGTCTTGGGGTTGTCAGGGGATTGAAGAGTTTGAAGTTTAGGTCCTCCCGGGCTTCATAAGGTTTTGGGGGTGTATGGCACTCTGCCAAGTGTGCGAGCTCGAAAGTAAGATGGAGGCACTGTCAGCAACATGTCTGGATAGAGAGCATTTCTCCCACACGACTGCTGCTGCATTTCATCCAGAAGAGGGCTGCTTCATTTTCTTCATGTCGTTTCTTGCGTTAACTATCGAAGATTGCCATTGACAGATTAGTCGCAGTGCTAAGCATAACAACTCCTTGACCGCCTACCACCTGACATGATAACAATAATATCTGAGCCTTTGTAATTCGAACGTGAACAGGGCTTTGGGGTATGTCGTCGTATGACTTCGCGGGGCGAAGGGAAGTCTATCGAAGAATTACTATCAGCTCCGGCGTCTCTTCACTTCTCCTCTCGTTGCATTCGGCTCCAAGATGCTTGAACAGAGTTGCCCTTTGCAACGAGAAGCCTAGCCGTAAATACACTCACCCTTACTGCTGCATATGAGACCCCGTTAAAGACGGTACCTTCATCAACCAGTAAATTGTTAATTGCGGGGTGAAGGCTGCAAAAGATACCTCTGTTGTGCATCTCTTCCTTTCTTGCGTCCGCAAGCTTCAAAATGCTTGCCGGAAAACGCCGGCAAATCTGAAAACTGCAGCTTGGTCGAGGTGGTAAAATCTTGTAAAAGCTTGCAATACGGTCGGGTTTAAGTCGCCGCAGCCAATGAGGTTGATGGTTCAAAACAGGACGATGTGAGACACAGTGAGAGTGTCAGACGTGTGTTTGGCAAAAAGAGGATACAGTCAAAGAGTTTAGGTAAGCCGCGCGGCCACTTTGCAGCTCATGGTGTCGAAAGTATTCCAGGACGTTTGCCAAGTTCGATATAAGTGCCGGACGTAGGTTGGTGTGCGCCTGATCCCGCCGCGAACTGAAAGTGGAAGGTCTGGTTTGTGCTGGACATCCCAGAACATGATGCATCTTAATGTCGAAGAGTTTATAGTGTATGACTTCCTTTCACCAAGCTGGACGTCTCAGGAATGCCTGCCGGCGAAGTTGTGATTTCAACGTCTGAGGCTCGACAGACATCGCGTGTCACGGCTCGCATGGCTTGTTCCATGCCGGGACCAGGGTCAGGCTCTAGTCTACTGAAACGGTCAAACTTTGCAGGCACCAGAAGCACGTAAACCCAAGTGTTGTTTGTGATCCTGACGTCGGGACATGCAACATTTCATAACGAACTGAGAGCATGTGGGCAGAGTGAGTCATGGCAACAACAAAAAAGACAACATCAAGAAGGAACAAACATCTCAACTATAATCAGAAAAGCAACATGAAACCAGGACCTACCTTCGCCGTGTCTCTTGGGAGTTACTCCAGGAAGCCGTCGGAGGGGGCGTTTCGTTAAGCAGCTTCGACTCTCGCAACAGGCGAGCAAGGATCCCTCGCAAAGTAAGAAAGTGACAAAAGGCACCTTTTCAGGAAGTTTTTTGGGGGT